GGAAGACTTCCTAAATTAGGCATAAAGAAATGGTCAAAGATTTGATCATTTCAGGTTAATGCAATTACTGATATCTGCCATGATCTAGTATCTACTTGGTCCATCCATACTAACATGAATTAACATAGCAATCAAGAGACAGGTAGGGAGGTTGGAATACTGTAGAACCTGTATTGAAAGACCACCTATTCTGTAAAAAAATAATGGTCTCTCAAGAACGGAGGCCTCTCATAAAAGGTAATAACACTGTATAATCAATAAATCTGTGCGTGGAGATCCTGGTCTCTCAGAACAGGTTGTCTGTCATAGCGGGAGTCTCTCCAGTTTTTACTATATAACTTCTGAAGGAAATAAATCTATTTTTTATTGCATTTGTGTACAGATGTCAGAATAAAACTCAATACTTTCGATCTTTCTGCATTTTTGCAATATAATATCTTCCCTAAGAATGTTGTTATATGTAAGGAAATAAGAACACGAGTTACTTGCATGAAAGTTCAGCTCGACTTGACATGCATTCATGGGTCACCATTGTAAATGGTACACCCGGTATGGATTGCATGCACTATTTTTCTTGCTGATATTTGCATTTATCCTTTCAGGATTCAAAAGGAAAACATGAATGTCGATGCAAGCAATTCTTGGAATAAAATGCTGAAGTGTTTTAAATGTTGTTCAGAAGGATAATTTTCATCATAATTTTGAGTAATTCATCATGATCCTTCATCCCTAGATTTATGCAAAGCTTTGATGTTTCCTTGTTCGAGTTTCAACGTACTTTCTCAATTTGTGAAGTCGTGACATCAAAGTATAGGTCTGCGATGTAATTAACGGCATAGTTCCTCCTAGGCATGAATATCTGTCACGGCGATTGGTTTGATGTATTTTTGAATTGAAATTGTTATCTTTCCATTCTTGTGCATAAGAAACATGCGACTCACGTTCTGTAGCTTTTCTGTGTTTCATGTGCAATCACTTTGGCGACGTGCCTTCTTTGCTACGTTTTGAAAATTGTGGCATATCGACTCTCACATGGGCGAACTTAAATGATTGTTTCGAAACAAACTGGCATAGACTTTTGAATCGTCTGAACCTGAGTACATCGATATAGCATCACACCAGACTCTCTCTCTCTCTCTCTCTCTCTCTCTCTCTCTCTCTCTCTCTCTCTCTCTCTCTCTCTCTCTCTCTCTCTCTCTCTCTCTCTCTCACACACACATACACACACACGATTTCTCAATCTTGATCTCTCGATCTCCTTTGATTTGTGACTGTCCTTCTCCCATTTTTTCAAAAACGCACATTTTGGAATGCATACATATTTATCAACTTTTGTATTCAGGTGTTTTTAATGTGAACATTTTGCCATAAAAAACAATCTGTTAATTATGTTAATTATGTATGTACATTATTATTAGGCACACTTTATTGAGCGTTTTACTACCGCAAGAGGCGCTGAAGCTCACCTGGATAAAATTAATTATTATGCTAAGTGATTTAAACTGTCGGAATATCTTTTCTTGGCAAAAATGTGGTTCTCAGTTGACACCTGATCTACATAACAAATATTGTCGTTGACAAAAGTTTTATCTTCGTAATATTAACATTAACTTTGATGACTTTTTCTCTCTCCAATGGAAAACTAATTGCAAACTAGTCCTCTTGGTCTTTGTCACGAAAATAGTATCGAAGATTAATACAATGTTTTTCATTCACTTTATCGTACACATTTCTATTTCATTTTGTGTCATCTGCTATCGCAATCGTGTTAGTTAATATCCAGCTATAAAAGTCGAGTAAGTTTTGGCAGCGAGTCTCAGATGCGGGAGGTAGTGGGTTCGAACCGCCAGCCGAGACACACCTAAGACATAAAAATGGTATTAGCAGCGGCCTCGCTTGGAGATCAGAGTTAAAATGGCAATGATAAGATTAGTCGACCTGGTGTCGGGATAATGATCCGGAATGATGCCCCAATGCTGGAAATCACTTTGAACTGACACAATGCAGAAATAGCGATATGACTGAAAAATTGTAAAAGAGGCAGAGAGAGAGAGAGAGAGAGAGAGAGAGAGAGAGAGAGAGAGAGAGAGAGAGAGAGAGAGAGAGAGAGAGAGAGAGAGAGAGAGAGAGAGAGAGAGAGAGAGAGAGAGAGAGAGAGAGAGAGATCTGCAGTGAAGAGCCTTGCCAAAAGCCACTCCATGGATACAAATCCCATGGTAGGATTCTAATCTCCACGCATTCGGTAGCTATTCTGGCATGCTACCCAAAAGCACACAGACCAATAGGTTATTCAGATTTATTTATTTATTTATTTATTTATTTATTTATTTATTTATTTATTTATTTATACAGAGCATCCTAAAATGTGAAATAATTGATTTAAAATCAGAGCAAGAAAATATTTTCGTCTAAATAAAAATCATTTCAAAATGGAACAAATCAAGAAAAGACAAATATAACACTGAGCACAGAAGTAACTATAATTTAAGATTTTAGCTGAAATCATGACGAATGTTAACTGTTTGATAGATTGTATTGTTAAATAGGAAACCAAATGAATGTTTTCCTAGGTTATGCAAGCAACATTAACAATATAGGATGCATTTTTTACATACATACATACATACATACATACATACATACATACATACATACATACATACATACATACATACATACATACATACATACATACATACATACATACATGCATACATGCATGCATGCATGCATGCATGCATGCATACATACATACATACATACATACATACATACATACATACATACATACATACATACATACATACATACATACATACATACATACATACATACATACATACATACATACATACATACATACATACATACATACATACATACATACATACATACATACATAAGATTGAGAGAGAACAAACATATAACAAACCTCTAAAACATTTTTAAAAAAATGAAATGTAAACTAAACTGTAGAACGTTTTTAAAGAATGTAACTGAAATGAATGAGTGGTTGAAAAATACTACGTTAAGAGATAATATCCAATTTGTACAGGTGTTAAACATTTTTCGTTTTTTTTTTTTACAGATATTTATTGTAGCCGTATTTTACATCTGCGTTTCTAATAATTTGTGAAAATCTATCTGGTTGCTTTCCTCCATATATTAAATCCACTTATCATGAGCTATTATACGACTGGCATTTTTTTTGTGTGCCTCTGTCCAATGTTCCCTGCTCTGATGGTTTCTGGCAGCGCCATTCATTAAGTCCTCTTTTCGATCTTGTCCTGTCATCACACGTCACACATAGATCAAGAAGATGGTCAAACGGTTGACACCCCCGTTAGGGATAATGGTAGCTTGACTGACACAGTCGAGTGCCAATTACGCTTTACCGTCTCCAAGCTTCGTCTTCATAAGTTTTCTTACCGAAATTAATTAACTCGTTATGAAGAAACTCCGCTTAATAGTGACCCAGACTTTTGTTCTAATTGATCTAGTGGCACAAAAAGGACGTTATTTGAATAAACCAGAGTGTATGCGTCAAAATTAATGTGCAGTATCGCACATTGAAAACTATGCATTGCAAAAGTCGATAAAATGCTTTTGCTTTAATTTCAAACATGCAATTTCTGTTCAGCTCGCTGACCAAGAGCTAGATAGCGTTCAGCTGGGCAATGAGTTCTTTGATCAAATGCTGGGCCGGATCAGGTCACGTGTTGGAGAGGGTTTCCAAATTTCGTAAGGGTTTTGACTTTTTCCCGAAAAGGCACCAAAAGCAAGTGTTAAAGTGCATTTGTACTGAAAGAGTTCAAGAGTGCACAAAACCCAATAAACGTGTGAAACAATGAAACAGTGGTAAAGAGACAAGTGATTGTAAAATTTTTCTTTTTACACACACACACACACACACACACACACACACACACACACACACACACACCTATATCACATTACTGAAATGTGCCACAAATATAATGAACTAACTATGGAAATATTTTGTTATGTCTCCCTAATTATATCAACATGTTGCAGTCAGAAACTGTCCTTGATGACGTAGAAAACTTTTTCGTAATCACGTTCGTTCTATAAATATTTTGCTAAGTTGTCAGCATCTTAACCATTCCGGATTTGTTTATTGCTTTAAAGTCAGATTGTCTCATGGTTCCAACAAAGATGAAAACTTAAATGATTTACGAATTACGGTTTATTGGCACGTCATGGTGTTATAAACAAATAAAAATGATATATAACGAAAGAAATACAGCTACACATTTGATGGATATAGAAAGTAGATTACCTTCGATCATTTTTCTTTTTGTTTGTTTTCAAAGCCCGTCAATTGTATTTATATTGTCTAGACATTGCTACGTCTACAGTTTGAAATCTCGCCATCACACGTCACATGCACATCAAAACGATGGGCTCGCGTTTGACACTACGACCTGAGATTTAGGAACTTTACCTGACAATCAAGAGTGCCAATCACACTTTATCGTCTCCAAACTTAGTCTGAAAAGTTATTTTATTTGTTTTTTCTTACCCAAGGGTAGACTTTCTTGTTAAATATGTGGCGACCATTTGTAATTAATTAGAATACCCAGGCCACATAATGAGAATATTGAAAAAGGGCTAGCGACAGATACATGTCAAGCAATACACGTGCAGAGAAATGTATCACTGTGGTTTCATTTTTTAACATTCTAAAGCAAGTTGCAAGTGCTTTCTGGTGTGTGTATGTGTGTGTGTGTTTGTGTTTGTGTGTGTGATTTAGGTTTTTTACGTAGCTTTAAAACATTTGCAGTCATATTGCTACGATGTATACAGTGTGACAATTTATAGTGATGTTTAGCACTGGAGCATCATTCCACAGTCATGTAGCATGATTTCCCACCCAGTCACATTATCCTGGCATCGGGCCGACCAGTCCTAACACTAATTTCTTAATGCTGCACGCCAAGCAAGGCAGCTGTTGGTACCATTTTTAAAAGTCATTGGTATGACTCGGCCGGGGATCTAACCCGCGACATCCCGCATCCGAGTAGGCCGCTCTACTACTAAGCCACCGTAACGGTCCATGTGTTTGTCTGGGTAAAGATCCTCAAGCTAAGTTCATACGAATGAGAATACATTTTCAATTATCAGAGCAGTGCTATGTAAGTTCATACGAATGAGCATACATTTTCAATTATATGAGCAGTGCTATGTAAGTTCATACGAATGAGCATACATTTTCAATTATCTGAGCAGTGCTATGTAAGTTCATAGTTCATACTAATGAGAATACATTTTCAATTATCAGAGCAGTGCTATGTAAGTTCATACGAATGAGAATACATTTTCAATTATCAGAGCAGTGCTATGTAAGTTCATACGAATGAGCATACATTTTCAATTATCTGAGCTGTGCTATGTAAGTTCAGACGAATCAGCATACATTTTCAATTATCAGAGCAGTGCTATGTAAGTTCATACGAATGAGCATACATTTTCAATTATCTGAGCTGTGCTATGTAAGTTCATACGAATCAGCATACATTTTCAATTATCTGAGCTGTGCTATGTAAGTTCAGACGAATCAGCATACATTTTCAATTATCAGAGCAGTGCTATGTAAGTTCATACGAATGAGCATACATTTTCAATTATCTGAGCTGTGCTATGTAAGTTCAGACGAATCAGCATACATTTTCAATTATCTGAGCAGTGCTATGTAAGTTCATACGAATCAGCATACATTTTCAATTATCTGAGCTGTGCTATGTAAGTTCAGACGAATGAGCATACATTTTCAATTATCGGAGCAGTGCTATGTAAGTTCATACGAATGAGCATACATTTTCAATTATCTGAGCAGTGCTATGCAAGTTCATACGAATCGGCATACATTTTCAATTATCTGAGCTGTGCTATGTAAGTTCATACGAATGAGCATACATTTTCAATTATCTGAGCAGTGCTATGCAAGTTCATATGAATGAGCATACATTTTCAATTATCTGAGCAGTGCTATGCAAGTTCATACCAATCAGCATACATTTTCAATTATCAGAGCAGTGCTATGTAAGTTCATACGAATGAGCATACATTTTCAATTATCTGAGCAGTGCTATGTAAGTTCATACGAATGAGCATACATTTTCAATTATCTGAGCAGTGCTGTGCAAGTTCATACGAAGCAGCATACTTTTTCAATTATCAGAGGAGTGCTATGTAAGTTCATACGAATCAGCATACTTTGTCATGCATCAGAAGAATGTTATATAATTTCTTACATATTAACATATAATCGCTTTGTGTTAGTACCTTTTGATGATACAAAAATTTGTGTTATAAAAGCTTTAGCACAATTTTTTTAAATTAAATTATTTAAAATAATGTCTTAAGCGGAGAATTAGAAAACCAGACTGGCCATAACATCTGGGTAAGTTGAGACTTTATCTAGCACAAAATTGGTTTGACCAGCGCAGTAACATCAACATCAAGTAAGCATCACTGGCATTTTCTTGTTTGATTATCTCTTCTGACACTGCTATCGCTGTCTCTGTAAACGTTTTCGCACAACTCATTTACTACATCAACATATGTTGAACTCAAAATAATGTTAACAGAGATGTTTACTTTTTAATATCATGTATTTTTGTACGTACGTGTATGTATGTATGTATGTATGTATGTATGTATGTATGTATGTATGTATGTATGTATGTATGTATGTATGTATGTATGTATGTATGTATGTATGTATGTATGTATGTATGTATGTATGTATGTATGTATGTATGTATTGGAGTTTCTATATAAAAATATTTGTCACTTCTATTTGGCTTTACTTACTTTATTTTTATATAAAAATACCCAATATGGTGGCGTCTATGAATAATATAATGGTGAGTGAGGTTTACATAGAATCATATCTTGACTTGAAGTTCTATTCAAAATGTAAATTAGATGCCAAAGTCAAATTTTTAAAATTGTTTTATTATCTGAGAGTTATCTCTCTTTCTTTCGTACTTTTACTAACCTCAGCGATCACCAAATAATCCCCGGAGATTAAACGAAGTAACCGATATAAATTTGAAAAGTGGTAATTTTGAAATAGGTCACTGTTAAGCGGAGTGTTTTCATAATGAGTTCTTAATATGCTATAACAAATACATAATTTAAAAATGGGTCACAAAAGTTATTTGTGGCGGATATGCATTTATTTCCACATTAATTTTCACCTCGTTGATAAAGGTACAAACATAAATACATGCATAGGGTTAGAATTTAAAAGAAAAGAAATTTCCTAGGGTTTCCTGACTGGTTATACTGACTATTCATAAAGACATTGTACATCTTAGGTATTTTTCTAAGAACCTATAATTCCCTTTAATTTTGTGTATGATTGATGGATGTAATAAGGGTGATAGTGTTTAAAATCTTGGTCTTACTTCAAAAAAGTGCTAGCTCTTTCTGGTCATTTTCACTTCATGAACTTCATAGGTAAATTGTAAAAAAAATAGCCGATGGCTATTTTTTACATCTTGTAGACTTATTAAGGTATTCATTGCACTTTTAGAAGCTGATATAGTCTAGTATAGAAAGATTAATTTTCCCCACCTTAATAGCTGTTAAGGATAGTGTACTTTAGACTACTTCAGGCTGATGTTTTGAGCAAAAAGGGGCAGTAATTTTAGTTAGAGGTGTGATTAGATCGTGTACACTTTCCAAAAGTAAAATATTCAAAGAAATGTCAGCCACATTACATCAAAGTATCATAGAGGTATGGCAAGTCTCTGTCGACTGTGCTGTTTTAAATGCAAACAACTTCACCTTACATGCGTCTCTGTCTGTCTGTCTGTCTGTCTGACTCTCTCTCTCTCTCAAAAGTACATAAAACGTGGTGATCGACCCCTTAAAGAACACGAAGGTATTATTGTGCTAAAACGTTTAAGTTGCAGCCATCAAAACAGTCCTTTTGAATAATTATCCTGTATATCCACCACAGAACAGTATTTGTTAGTGTTAGAGCCTTAAACAAGTCAACCAGCATCCCTTTTGATAAAAAGTCAGCTTTTTCAAAACTGCACATTACGTTTTGTCAACATAACAACCAGTATTATGCTGAAATACATGAATATGAAACTAGATATAAATTATTCCTTAGATGTGAACAATAAAGTTTTCAGTTTGAAAATGGATGGAACAGATGAGATTCATATAGGTCGAAGGTTAAAAGGTTTGCTTGTTGTTTAATTTTGAAGAAAGCGAATTTGCTTTGTCATCATTTGAGGTTTTATTTCATTGCATATAAATGTAAAGAAACATTTCATTTTATATATCTTTTGCTTAGAGCAACTGTTGTATATTTAAGTTGAATTTATTTATATAGTCTTAGACTTCTAATGTCCCTATAATTAATGTCACTACTCACAAAAACATGACTAAGGCATATTATGTAAGCAAGAGCAAATTTAAGCATAATTAGCTTACTTTTATGCATAACATCAATGTTAAGGTACCATTTTGTTCAGAACATCTTGCATAATAATTTTGCATAAAAATATGAAAATAAGAAAAAATGATTGCATACATATTTTAAGTTGGCGCTCTACAGTTTCGTTTTTTGCGTAGGGTTAAAATTTTAAAGAAATATAATTTCTCTGGGTTTCCTCTCTGGTTAGACCGGCTATTTAAAAATTACCTTGCATATCTTACAAATTGTTCAAAGAACCTTTAATTTCATTTATTTTGGTGTATGATTGATTGATGTAATATGGGTTATATAGTATACAGCTTGGCCTTACTCCACATATGCACCTTTCAGAAAGTGTTCTATTTGATCCTTTTCACGTCCTGATCATCAGAGGTAAATTATAAAAAAGGAGCTGATGACACTTTTTACATTTTACATACTTACTATTTCATTGCACCTGCAGAAGTTGTTATTTTCTAGTCTGGCAAAATTAATTTTCCATATTTTAATGACTGTTGAAGATAGTGTACTTTGGTGATTATATCGTGTACACCTTCCTAAAGTACAATATCCAAAGATTGTCAGCCACATTACATCCAAGTATCATAGGAATATGCCAACATTCTCTAAACTGCATGATTTAAATGCAAACAACTTCACCTTACATACATCACTCTGTCAAAAGTACATAATAAATGGTGTACGCCCCCAAAATCATACGTGTTTTGAAGTCGGCTTCTGCATTATGCAACATAAACAACATCATTTTGCTAAGGTAAGTAATTTTGTTGTAGTCATTTAACAAGTTTAATATAAACAAATATAAAAATAACCCATATTTTACTATAATAATTTACTACAATAGTTACCCATAATTTCATAACTAAGAGCATTGTTCCTGGTCCAGATTTCAGAGTACCGTTTCAATGGTCATATTTGCGCTCTGTCCTAATGCCGTGAAAGTAGACAAATTAGTGGGATTTTCAACAGCTCACCAACTTTAACTAGCTTTACCGTGTTTTAAAGTAAACAACTGCAACGCCATTTTTACTAACGCTTGGCATAAATAATGTATATGCATGGCGAAGGGAAATATGTGCTTTCAGATACTGATTATGCCTTTTCACCGACTCCACAATGTGATATGCCTAATATCACAGTAAGTGTTAAAGGTTTATTTAAAAACAGCTTTTCTCAAAAGTGCGTACATATGGCATAACATAATTCCATTATCAGCAGGTGGTATTGAAATCAGACAGGAAAGTAGTTCCTCTGATATATCAATGCCACGAGGAAATAATAATTCTGTTGAACTTAAGTTGAAACAAAAATCCTTCTATGGTTCATCTTAACTTTGAAACTTTTAGGCATCATCAAGAAATAATTTTGCAGAGTTAATACATTTATTATACCCTCCTTCTCATTTATTATGCTCTCGTTCTCGCAATCCATGCTAACTGACGGCACACTTAATGATGATATTACACTAAAGGGAACACACCAATCTGATCGTCATTATTATGGATTAGGATTAACTCTAAATGCAAAGGATACATGCCATTTTGTAGAAAAGAAGATGTAGACGCTGCGGTCTCATGTATGGAATTGGACTGAA